GTCATCTAAAATATTAACTTTTTTTGGTTATTCTAGGTTGACTGAAATATGTCGAAAAGTCGGTTAATGATAGTAATTTTTATATCTGAATTCAATTTGAACTTTAAATTTTAGTTCTAAGGTATAAGTTTTTATGATTTTTGCTATTATGTTATACCTATTTCTGTCAACCAAACCATTTTTCTGTTCCTATCAACGATATTCCTATTTCAATTAAAAAATTCCATTTTTAAAACTTAATAAACCCTATAATTATTTTGATTTTAAAAAATTTGAAGAATTAAATTAATAGTTATTTTTTATTGATGATATTCCGATTAATCTTCCATAAATTCAAAGATATAGTTGTAAACCTTGTGAAAAAAAAATTTACAACCACGATTTGAGACTTCAAATGCGAAGCACTACATCAAACACATAAAACACTACAAATTGACAAATACTGATGTGTTTAATTGAAAGTAGGGTGTACTCCAGGTGTAAACTATCAATAAATTTAAGCTCTATATTTTACACCTTTTGCTGTAAGGTCAGTAAATTTGTGACACTTTTTGGACTTAAAGCGCAGTGTATTAAATGAGTAAAATTATTAGCCATTAAAAAATTCAACAACTACAAAACTTATTTTTATAAAAAAAGAACAGGCGTTTTTCAGTTAAAATAGCGCAGTCCCTGAGGAATTTCGAACAGTGTATTCATATTTTTATAAAATGGAGCATTCGAGAAAATGATTTTCGACTATTTATTCCCTTGGGAAGACTATTAGCATAAAACGAATCATGTGGACCTATCCTCCCCTGGATTTCATTTAGAAATGATAGAATTTAATACTAAACTGACAAATAATCAATAAAATAAAAGGGGTTCTCTCCTTTTTTTTATATTTAAGAATATTAAGTCACGGATTATTTATTATACTATTATTAAACTATATATCATTTTAGTTGTATAGATATTGAAAATTTCCTCATTCAAAAAGTATTTTATTTATTCTGTTTTATGTAATTCTTAAACGAGATCATTGAGATTTCTTTCGCATATAAAAAAGTAGTTTAAAAGTGTAATTATTTATTAATCTTAATCTTTAAAGAGATAAAACTTTTAGTTAAGTTTAAAGAATACAGCTTTGAATTTGAATACCGTCAACCGGGGCTATTTTGTGCACCAAATATTGCTATTTTTTTACTCAACGATTTATTAAAATTTTGAATTAAAAGAAAAAGAAAATCAACTACAATTGATATATATATATATAGATTCATCATTTCATCATCATTTCAATAGAAATTTTTAAAACGTTTAGAATAAAGAGTTTTCGCTAAAATTTGTCAAATTATATTCAAAAACTTTTTGTGGCACTTTCGAAGTGCAGTTACGCAAAACATTTTTATAATATTTTCTACTGGACAATATATAAGGTATGAAACCAAACACTTATAAAAAAAAGTATTTAAGTTTGCTTAGAGAACTTGATGCAACTAGAAGATATTTCTTTACATACGCTACAAGTTTGCAGTAAACTTTAGGATGAAGAAAATAGGAAATATTTGAAAAACATTTCCTATAGCTTGCATTAAAAGTTTAGGAATATTGTGATGCGATGAACAGAAAGTTTGATACAAGTACGAGAATGGTAGCTTACAACCCCCACAGCACAAAAAGTATTGCTGCAACGTTGGGGGATGACATGTTGAATGACGAGCTTCAAACAATATTACTTTCTAATGTTCAGAACATTCTACGAGTCAACGTGCTGAAAGCATTAAAACAAAATTTTATCTTCTTTCAGATGAATTGTCTTGAGATATCATTTTAACACTTACTCTCAAAATCCGAATAAGTAAAAATTTACTAATTGTTAGTAAACATTAATTTATTTTTCATTTATTTATTTCAGTTTTATAATATAAAAATATAATAATAATATAAATAATTACTTTGGACAAGATTGAAATTCACATATTTAAATGACAAATGAGTTGAAAAGAGTGTATAAAAGTAAAATGAAGTAACTCTCTATTAAAATGAAGAATAATTTAAGACACGTTCTGCATTCGTTTATTAATTAAAATATAACAATATTAATGGAGCTTACCGTTGGCAATTTAAGAGGGAGCGACTTTCAGAGATGTGGACTCTCCATACATAGACAGAAGTGTAGGAAAGTTGTGTATGAATGCATGTTGTAGATAGAAGCACAGAGAATAGAGGGGTTCCGAGTGTGGGTTGTGGCACTTTAATTTAATAAAGCAATTTGTAACGGAATACGAAACGAGGCAATAATGGCCAGTCGGCGAGAAGGGTCCTAACGAGCTGCTTACCACATTTCACCCAATCCAGATATCTTTTCTTCGATACCTCATGTACTTAAGGCCAGGGCTTTAAATGTGTATAGATTTTTCGAACGAATCAATTTTACCAAAGAGTCTAGAAATTATTTTCATATTGCTAAATAGATTGCGGGTGGGCATTTTTTAAAGTTTTTATCTATTTATCGGAAAATTATTTTTCAAGTTCTTCTTAACAAGAACGGTATGATGAATCTCACTGAAATGTTTGAAATAAGCCAACAGATATTTGAGTATGCCAAACTATATACACATATGTCAAAAAGGCGTGTCCCACAAGTTATACCCATGTTCCACTATTTCTCATCTTCCCCTACGTTGAATTAAAAAAATACCTTACATAAAATGATATTTTAGCTTCCCCTAAATATTACATTTACATTAACTTGGTTCAAAACAAAGAAAATCAAAATTCTTGCAATCTCACCCTCTACGATTCTACTGTATAAAAAATATATTCTCTTTGTAGAAAACAATATTTTACTGACTTAAACATTTTACTTCTTAAAGATAATAAAGTATTCCAATTTTTTAATAAGGAAGAACAAGTTTCAAATACAAAATCTAAAAAAAGGATTAGTTTTTATTAAAGAACTTTCTTTAATTATTTTCGGAAATTAAGATGAAATCTGCAGGAGGCACTTATCGTTTCAAGTGAGACAATAAAAAACTATTTAATGTATACATTAACTTTTTGTTTGTCGCCACCATGAGTGAAATATAGACGACCCACAATGATCGGTTGACATACTTGCAGACTGCCTAAGCCTTTCAAGTTGTTTCCGATCGAATCAAGCGTTCCTAAGAGAACTTTTCATTTGGAGGCTTTCATCAAGCGTTAGCTTTTATTGCCTGGTTCTCCCCTAAATGTCGTTAAAAAAAGTTGGGGTATTTTTTCCGTATCCAACAGTCGTTGGGGTAACAGCGTAAGAATTCCAATTTTTGAACCACCCCAAGGTTCATAGATGGAATAAAATTTCGAAAACAGGCACAATTTTCATATTAATTTATTTCTCTCTCTTTAAAACATTAATATTTTATGTAAGTCTCTCTCTCTCTCTCAAAGTAATTGAAGCTTCTTATGATATTCCAATAGCAGCTTTCCATAATCTTCCTTTCCGTTTACGACAAAAGCATATATCAATCTTTCTTAGCTTTTCAAAGGCTTCCTAAAACATATCCTAACAAAAAACTTGAGCTCATAATGATGTTGGAACGTACAATACCTATTTTGAGGTATTTAGAAAAAATGAACCTCGTAGGCGTCACCACGCTCAGTTATGTTATTAACACGGCTTCAATATTGGATGCAACAAAACTGAGTTCAGGATTTTTCTGTGGCTGCTTTTGTGTCTTTCAATGTTTAAAACTCTTAATTGCATTAGGGGTTTTAAATGTTACACTGAACTCACACAAAACTATTATATAACAAATTTTAAAAAAAGACTATTTAAATTCAAAGACTATAAATTCTTTAAACTACCGTCAACCGGAGTTATTTTGTGTGCACACGAGTTTTTTAATAAATGAAATCTTTAAAATGAGTTATTTTAATCTGCTTTTTTTTAAACAAAAGATGGATTACATGACAATAGAGGGCACTAAATGTTATTTAAAAATTTATGTCGAAAATTTTGAAAGCTCTGAAAAATTATACCACATCTCCTATAGAGTTTTAATGTGACTCAAACTGTGCTAAATTTTTGTTAATTATTTTAAGAGAAAAGTGGATTTGATACATTTTTATCTTACCTTTTTTGAAAAAACTGTAAATAAATTAATTAAACCCATTAAAATGATTTAAAATTTAACCGATGCCCAACATCCTCAAAAAATTATCTTAAATAAATATTAATTTATAAGTTTTTCAAGTTAATTTCCAAACTATTTCTCTCGTTTCTCTTAAAAAAAACTTAAAAAGAATATTACAAAATTAAATTGTTATTTACTTTACCATAAAAATATTAATTTCAACCTTTTGAAAAATATCATTCGAACGCTATACATTCAGCATATCACACTGAGAAAACTGGATATTAAAACTCTTAATATACTAGATATTAAGAAAAGATGCTAATGCATATCATCCAGATGTTATGGTTTAATATCTCATAAAAAGTATAATCTGTAAATGTGAGGTTATGTTTGAACAAGTCTTTTTCCAATATCTTAGATATTAAATTTGAACATCTAAGAAGTTTACATAGTTCACTGTCACAGATATTAACCATTAATATCTAGATGATAAGGCTTAAAATCCATTTTTCTCAGTGCAGAAGAAATTTAATATTCCTCGGCACAGGGACAAGTTACTTATTAAAGAAATAATTATTTGAAATTTTTTATTAAATAGTGTTGCCGCAACATTCAAATAAATTTGGTCGCCATATTGGATTCGCCATTTTGAATTTTGAAAATTTGACTTCTTATTCGGATTCAACGACACCAAAAACCTTAATATATCCATCGCCACTTAAATAGAGTTATGTCTTGCGGCAACACTATAGATAAATATTCATGTCTGTTTGGTAGAAATGCAATTTCTAATTATTTAAAAATTCTAATAAATAATAATTCCGTGTACTTGAACTTTATTTAAGACAATTAAAAATATTGATAAGAGATATGTTCTGTTAAATATTTATTTTGTAGTGTCCCAACAGCTAGGTTGTCAACAAACAATGACGGGGACAGGTGGAGGCGGTGCTGGAGAGCATGAGGGTGGGAAGAAAAAACACACGAGGCCAACGTTTAGCGGGCAGCAAATCTTTGCCCTTGAGAAAACTTTCGAGCAAACAAAATATCTCGCAGGTCCTGAACGAGCTAAACTCGCATACGCCTTAGGCATGTCTGAATCTCAAGTTAAGGTAAGCCTTTAAATAAATAAAAAGTAATCCAAATGTTTTTACTTAATATAAATTTCAAACGTTCAAATGCCACGCGCATCATTTCTCAGGATTATCATTTCAATCGTTTGTATTGATGCTTAATCACAGTTGATAATACTACCCCTACTACACTCTAAATCTGAATCAGTGAAAATTTCACTGATTTCAATTCAGTGGCCCAGTTTTCTTTGATGAATCAGTGGTTTTTATACTGATTCTCAGTGAAATCCCACTACATTCGCATCGCATGAGAAATTGATAATTTTTATGATTACGCAGAGAGAAAATAAATATTACGTAAAAATATTTTGAAAGGGAGAAAATACAACAAAGGGAAATTTTGATACAAAAAATACTAAACTTTTAAAGAAATCATCCGAAATTTAATAAAGTTATTTGATTTAGTAAATTTATAAGAATTTCTCTTAAATTTCCAGTGAGTCAACATTAAAAAACAGCTTGGAAAAATAAAAACACATTTTTGTGAACTAAAATGTTTAGCAATATATGTACGTGATTTAAAAAAAAAAATATTTCTCTATTTGTCAGATGATACTATACGACCTTTAAAACAATTTCGATTTTTGTTTTAATTTTTGAAGAGGGGTTGTCCCCTAAGAGAAAATAGTCATAATAAAACTTGTTTACAAAGCATTATATATGTGTACATTTATTGTATATATAAATGGGCGAAGCAGATCACTTGCAGAAACTGGTCGCTTTTAAAAGTTTATTTTTTTAATTGACTAGGAATTTGATTTCTTTCACAAATTTCTATTTATTGGAATCAAATGAAATTGTGCATTAACTGATCATTCTAAAAAATGATTTTTATTGATGTGTTGTATAGTATAGAACCTCGATTTTCCAAACCTTTGTAATTTAGAGAGGGGTTTTTCCTGTTCTAACAAATGCGGAAAAAAAATGTTAAAAAAATTAAAAATTTCACTCTTTTTTTGAAGATCAAAAAGGTTTTTGTCATTTTTTGAAAATGCACCCTTTTTTTTTTTAGCCTTAAAATATAGCTTATAAATGAATACTTTTAAAAATTGAATTAAAAAAAATGAGAGCGTTCACAAATAATGATGTCACGTTTTTGAGAGTAGGGGGGTCCACACTAAACGTGACATAATGTTTTTTTCACATGTGAAATTGCATTAAACTGCATGACAGGGGGGAAGGGGGTGTTGAAAATAAAGTATTTTTTCAAATTGTCAAAATTTTCTATGTGAAAAAAGTAGTTCCAAGATGAACGTCTTCTTAAAAATCTTTAAAAAATCACACAAAACTTTTTTTTTTGAAAAACTAACACCAGATTCGTAATCAGCGACCCAAAAAACCCCTAAGTATAGTAATTTTCATGAGTCTAACTTAATTTTTACATTCTTTGTTCGACATATTTCATCCGCCATTTTGAATTTTGTAAAACTAACAACAGATTCGTAATCTGCGATCCCGAAAGTCCTCGAGTAGTCATTTTCATGAGCCTTGCTTGAAGTAATTTAACAATTTACAATTTTTTTAACAACCCTTAGTAAAAACATTTTTTTCTATTGTTGTAATTATAATATTGTTGTAAATTTATTGCACTATAATTTCATTTTGCAAAGTAATATAAATTTGTGGATCTTTGGCGTTTAGAACTCAGAAATTGATTAATTTTTGACAAAGTTATGAATGTTCAAACAAAAAAGTGTTTTCAATCGAAACCATACTTAGAATCATATATTTTCAAAGCTATAAGGCAGTTAAAAATATTTCTAATGTATTAGTCAAATTTGGCTGAAAGTGAGATTTATTTGTATAATGGTGGTATCGATCTTAGGATTTCTAAACTTAGCTTAATTATTAATTAATTAACTTTATTAATCTTAGGGTTTTCTTTTACTGGTCCTAAACTATTACTAGAACAATTCCAATTAATATCTGAGTCATAAAAAATTATTTAATTCACAATTCATAAAAAGTAACCACAGCCGATAATAATCAGCAGAAGATGAAAAAATGTTTTTGAGCGAACTTTATCTCCTGTTTACTAACAATTGTTAGTCAAAAAGTTTTTTACTGGTCCTAAACTATTACTAGAATAATTCCAAAGTAATATCTGGGTCATCAAAATTAATTCAATTCACAATATAATAAAAAGTAACTACAGCCGATAATCAGCAGAAGCTGAAAAATTATTTTTTGAGCGAACTTTATGTTTTGTTTGTTAACAGTTGTCAATAAAAAAATGATTTACTGTTCCTTAACAATGGCTGGAACAAAATTTTCTCATAAATCTTTAAAAACAGGCAAAATTCCAGAAATTTTTTTAAATTCCATACTATTTCCAGGTTTTTCATACCTTTTTCTAAATTCCATACCTTTTCCAGGATTTCCAGGCTTTGTGGCAACCATGTACTTTAACGATAAATATATATACATACCTATTGAAAATAAAAAATTTAAGTAACTTTACCAACTTATAAAGAAATTGTAATAAAAATACTTTGTGAGAAATAAATTTCTTGAGTTGTGAGCAGAATAAAAACAAATTACCTTTTTTCCTTCAAATGTTCATCAAGAACTTGGCATATATACTATAACAACAAAAGTAAGAAAAAGCATAAGGTGCTGCTATTATGCAAAAATTTTAAACAAAATGTCCATCTTGGGATTCTCTACTCATAGTTATTTAATTATAAATATCTTAGAAACAAAAAAACGTCATTTTCTTTATTTCGCTTGTAGAAATACATACATCTTAAGCTTAATTTTAAGACTAGTTAAAATCAAAAAAATTAGTTCTTTCTTTAAACGAAGTCAAAAATATTCTTGATTTTCAAAAAAAGGGTTACATTTAACCATTGAAAAGATCAGAAAAAACCTTTCGAAAACATAAAGGTTAAACATTTGTTTTATGCTATAATAGTACAACTTGGGAAATTTTGCCCCTCATGTTTAATACTTTATATGTTAACTGTTTAGTTTGCAATTTGTTCAACGAGTTCAAATTAAAATCTTAATTGTAAGCAATTATTTATGTTTCTTTTTAATTATAATCTTTTATACGCTTGACCTGAAGTGATGGTTTTCTTCAATTTTTTTGAGATCTTAATAGATGTACAAAGATGCTGTTCCAAGTTTGTTTACGTAGGCCGCAGGAATAATGCCAAATAGAATTCTGACTAATGATCCGTAGAGAAATAAATTTTCAGATTCTAGTAACACGCATTTCACTTTTCTATTACAAAATATTGTTAGATGAAGACAAACATTACCTACTTAACTTTCAAATTTCTGAGAGTATAAAATCTCAGTGACAAATTTTTTTTCAGCTCACCAGGTGTTAATTATTTAATCCTTATTCTTTTCTCTAAATGCAATACATTTTGGCTATAATAATAAGCCAAATATTTGTTGCTTTTAATTTAAATTTTACTGAAAACCATGTTTCACATAATAATAATAGTTTTAAATTTATTTCAATTCTTTATTCATTTATACTATACAATAAAATCTCGTTTATTCGACCACTGATAAGCTGAATCTGAGCACGACACTTTGTATCCTTTTAAACTATATGTTGGTTAGATGTTTAATTTAATATATTTTTGTAAGTAAATTTATTTCTATAACAGATAAGTAAAATTTTACTATTTTTGTGTAAGACATCTCAAGAAAATCCGACATCTCTGCATTTGCAAACTGTTAAATGCTCTAACATATACAGCATATCTTGAATATTAAGCCAATGAGAAAAGAAGACAATAACCAAGTTATTGAAAGTTTTGTTTTGAAAGTGATTTCATCCATGTTGACGCTGACCTTAAAATTAAAAAAAATGAAAAACAGCGAATAACTCATCCACGGACATGTATCTCGCATTGGATAGCCGTGAGATAGATCACTTATATACAATGCTATATTTTATAAAACTTGAAACCTTTTACAGAAATATTGAAGCAATATTTTATATTGCTTGGAAAGTGAAAATACTTTTATAAGCTTTACAAACCGCGAAATGTTTTCATTTTGATTGATGGATGTATGGAAGTTATATTTGTTTGTTTGGATTTTATTTTGTTGATTTGTTGCAATTAGATGAATATAGGATGATTGAAAGTTTAATTTAATTTTGTCTTCGTGCGGTAATGCGATTGCAGAAACGAGAAACCTCGAGCGATCATCGCTTCGTCAGACATTTGCCGCCAGGCCACCGATTGTCAACACCACTACAAGCGCTTTTTCCTTTTCTACAATACTAAGCCCTATTTCAATTGCACCCCACCACTTGAGTGTAACTCCCAACTCTCAGTGAAGTTGCCGTTCGCATTTGAAGCTTTCAACCCCTGTATACCAGGCAACGCTCATGCCCACAAAGTCTGAGTCGATGTAGCGCTGTCATTGGCTCATTTCAAGCCGCCATATTTACATTTTTATTGAAAGCTACAAGGCTCTGTGAGTGATGGCAAGGGGATGAGCGAATGGTGAGAGGATGTAGGAGGGCTGAGGAGAACCAAGGAGAGAACTGCGGAGTGTGAGTGAAACAAAAAGAAGGGTGGCATTCAATTACCTCGGATTTCCTGGAAAAGCAGCGATTCGTTTCCAAGTGTATATACATACATATATGTATCAGCGCAGCGTCGAACAGAAGCAAGGCTGAGCAAGGCTGAGCAAAACTGAGCAAAACTGAGCAAGGCTACCTTGTGATCCTAACTTTCGTCGTATTTTCAGAAATATGTCGGCCATATTTACATGCACCCCAGCTCTTGTTGATACTATCAATTGATTCTTTTTTTCGCACACACATTTATTTATTCTCTCAACGAAACTTGAGATTCACTTGCTCTCTCAAGTTTGCTAAACTTTGCTCAATTTTTCATTATCATATTGTTAACTAAATTATTTCAAGTAAAAAAAGGTTTTTTTAAAATGTACTCTATTCTTTTTATATAACAAAGAAAATATTTTCCGTAGTCTCAATAAATTGCGCA